CTTTGTTTTTGTTTAATTATTTATGTGAGAGACAGAACTCTCATCTGCTGGTTCACTATCCAAGTGCCCATAGCAGCAGACACTGGGCTGAGGCTAAAGCTGGAAGCTGGGATTCAACCTGGATCTCCCACAAAGGTGGCAAGAACCTAGTTATTTGATCCATCATCACTGTCTCCCAGTGTCTATATCAGCAGGAAGCTAAAGTCAGGAGCCAGAAACAGACACCAAACCCAGGCACTCCAATATGGGACGCAGGCATCTTAACTACTAGGCCAAACACTGGTCCTACTATCTTTTTTTTTTTTTTTTTTTTACAGGCAGAGTTAGAGAGAGAGACAGAGAGAAAGGTCTTCCTTCTGTAGGTTCAACCCCCAAGTGGCCGCTACGGCCGGCATGCTGCAGCCCAGCGTGCTGCGCCAATACAAAGCCAGGAGGTGGGTACTTCCTCCTGCTCTCCCATGCGGGTGCAGGGACCCAAGCATGGGCCATCCTCCGCTGGCCTCCCGGGCCACAGTAGAGAGCTGGACTGGAAGAGAAGCAACTGGGACTAGTACACGGCGCCCCAACCAGGACTAGAACCCGGAGTGCTGGCGCCGCAGGTGGGGGATTAGCCAACTGAGCCACGGCGCCGGCCCGGTCCTACCACCTTTTTAATAACTGACTTTTACTAATTGTTAAGAGTTTCTTGAAATAGACTCAAGAATACTATTTAATTGGATATTTCAATTGGATACTTCAATATTTGTTTACCCATGTCAACTAGGATGGAAAATATCCTACTTTTAAACACTGAAAAAAAAAATGACACTATAGAAAAATCACTATTTAGAGAATTAATAATTTCCTCAAAATTGCATCAATCTACCAGTTTGCTTTCACAGATATGTAAGATGGTTCAAGAAAAACACATCCCCCCCCCAAAAAAAAAAAAACCACACTGAACACAATAAATACCACAGTATGAACATATTCTCTAGGGCAATAAATAATGTTCCAATGTATAAAGAGTGATTTGTGGGAAATGATGTCATTCCAAAAATTATTTCATAAGCATATAGCATGAGTATTTTCCAAAGTGATCAAACAGTATTTCATACATTCTCATTCCTGTCTGGAGGAATGAAAATGCCCAATTTATTTCTTTTTAGAGATTTGTTTATTTGAAAGAGTTACAGGGCTTTGAGGGGAGAGGGAAAGACAGAGAGAGGGGTCTTCCATCTGCTGGTTCACTACCTAAATGGCTGCAATGGCTGGGGCTGTGCCAGGCTAAAGCCAGTAGCCTGCGACTCCATCTGGGTCTCCCATGTGGGTGGCAGGGGTCCAAGCACTTGGACCATCTTCTGCAGCTTTCCCAGGTACATTAGCAGGGAGTTGGATTGGAAGTGGAGCAGCCAGGGCTGGAATCAGCATTCATATGGGATGCCTGCATCACCTGCTGCACCACAACACCAGCCCCAAAGATGTAAAATTTAGACAACCTGGTAACTTGAGGGAAAACTTTATACCTATATAAAGACTATTTGCATTTAAGAGACGAACATCAAAGTTAAAGTTAAAAATGTGAAAGTTAAACTTTAAAATGGGGGTCTGGTGCTGTGGTGTAGCAGGTAAAGCCACTACCTGCAGTGCTGGCATCCCATCTGGGCACTGGTTTGAGTCCTGGCTGCTCCATTTCCAATCCAGCTCTCTGCTAATGGCCTGAGAAAGCAGTGGAAGATGGCCCAAGTCCCTGGGCCCCTTCACCCACATGGGAGACCTGGAAGAAGCTCCTGGCTCCTGGCTTCGGATTGGCACAGTTCCAGCTTTTGCAGCCATCTGGTGGTGATGACCTCTCTATCTCTCTGTCTCTGTCTCTCTGTGTGTTTCTCTCTCTCTGCCTCTGCCTCTCCTTTACTCTGACTTTAATAAATAAGTCATTTTTTTAAAAAAACTTTAAAATGGATTTATTAAGAACATGTAATCACCTACAATATTTTAAAATATTCAAGAACTCACTCTCCATCAAGAATAGCATCATGACAATTCCAGTGTGGAAAGTGTCACTTCCAATGACTTTGTTCAGACCCAGAATTAGATAACTTGTGAAAACGAAGCAGTTTCAGCAAAAGCTGGCGTAGCAGACATTTTTTTTAACGTGAAATCTATAGTAACTAACACCTCCACAGAAGCATTACTAAGGTAAAATCAGGGTAGTGTGGAGCCTTGGTGAGAACAATCAGAATGACAAGTTTCCCAAAAAACTAAAGATCTGCTTTTTTGAAAAAAAAGATTGATTTTATTTGAGAGAATTACAGAGAGAGAGAGAGGTCTTCCATGTGCCAGATCACTCCCCAGATGCCTGCAATGGCCATCCAAAGCCAGGAGCCAGGAGCTTCTTCTGGGTCTCCCACATGGGTGCAGGGTCCCAAGCACTTAAGCCATCTTCCACTGCTTTCCCAGGCACATTAGCAGGGAGCTGGATCGGAAGTAGAGCAGCCGGGACTCAGAGGGGTGCCCATTTAAATTCTTTTTAAAAGCCCAAGTTTGTAGGCCAGAAATCTTCCTAAAACCTCACATATTTCATTGACTTCCTAAGCATAAGGACTCATTTCTAAGCATAATTATGCCCAACTAGATCTACTAACCCAAGCAGGATTGTCTGTCCATAACTGGAAGTCCAGATTGCTCACCTGCTTGCTTGCTTCTCTTCTCTTCTCTTTCCTTTCCTCCCTTCCTCTCTCTCTCTCTCTCTATCTCTCTCTCTCTCTCTCTCTCTCTCCCCTGCTCTCTGTCTCTTTAGGTTATGCATTGTATCACAACAAAATAATTGTTTTTAACATTATTTACCATTGTCCTCATCAATAATCATTGCTATGCTCTGTTTTTCTTTCTTGCTGGCTTGCTTTCTCTCCTTCCCTTCCTTTTTCTTTTTTTGTTTCTTGATTTTTTTTAAAATTTAGTTTTGTTTTTTATGTCCTGCTTTAGTCTCCTTCTTTACACTTGTGCAGTGCCCTGACACTATTAACTGTTGTCACATGACCACATAATGTCCCTTCTCTCTGAATTATTATTCCCCTCCTCCTCGGGCTGTGGTCTTGGAATGCAGAAAACCTGCTTGCTAGAACTGTGTGAGAAATACAGATCAACTGAGTTCTTAATAAGGATCTCGCCTGGGTTAAAATATGCATGATCTTTGCCAGCTTTATCTGGGACTCTTGCAGACTCTCTGGATCCCAGCTAGGTTCCAGATAACATGAAGATTGTTGGATGGCCAAACTCTGGCTTCTGAGGGGTTCATAAACGATGATCATTAAAATGCATGATGATGACTCTGAGACACGTACTGAATCATACACAAAATATAAAATATGATTGAGCTTTAAAGGGTTTTGTGAAATTACAGCCTTTGGGACGTGGTGGTTCACTTCTGGCATCTGCAGCCACGTTCTGACGGATTGCAGGTGAACCTGAGGCTGCCTCTCCCAGGCCACATACAAGGCCAGTGTACCGTGCACTGTTGTTAAAACATGAGCTCTCCTGGGCATGAGTATGGCTGAAGACCGAATCCTGAACAAACCCGCCCTGTAAGGCTCAAGGCTGGGCATTGGAAATGGCCGGGCCCCTGCCCCCCTCCCCAGCTGGCCTTGCCCACACGTCTATTCCCGCTCTCTCTGGGGCTCTGCCCACGCTAGTGACTCTGGCCAGCTTTCAGTTCCTGGAATGTTCCCTTCCTCACGAGGGCCTTTGCCCAAGAGTTCCTCAGCACCTAGATGCAGCCACTGCCCGGCTTCCTCCTGCTCAGCTCAGTCACACTTTGGTGGGAAAGCCTGGCCGCCCAGCCAGCTCGGTTCTGCCAGCTACACACTCAGTAGTTACCTGCTGTTCTCCTAGGAGCCCTTATCGCAGTGGCCATTTCTCATTGAGCTGTGTGTGGGACAGATTACCTGGAAAATAGTAGGTGCTCAATAAATATTTGTTCACTCCCTGGAAAGGAGGGAGCAAGGGCACGGCAGCCAGAGTGGCCTCCTCATTGTGGCTAACAGCAAGGTGTGCCGGGAGAGCCATTGCCAACAACTCACATCCTCTCAGCTGCTGCCGAGACCCAGGGCTCTTTCCTTTCCTTTCTAGAAAAGAATAAAATCTATTCGATGAGCATTCAGCAGCATGGTGTGAAGCTATTACTGCTACATTCTGGAAATCATTGCATTATTCCACACAAAGAAATAAGAAAATCTTCCCAAACAAATGTCAAAAACTTTACCACACTGTCACACATGCTGCCTCTAACATTTGTCTTTTGTTAATTTTTTTTTTTTCTGGCTTTCATCTTAAGTGTCTCTCAAGTTTTGGCAATTTAAGACTTCTAGTTACCATGGCAATGGGAAGCAATGCTCTCAGGGATCGATTTGGGGGGAGATCCCCGTTTCGTTGGGGTTCTATGGTCTCCTGCCGTTGACAGCATTTGGGAACTGAGAGAATGTCGATTTGGACACAGTGCGTCTGTGTTGCAAACAGATTTACTTTTGTGCCTAAAATGTGCCAGGAATGGTCTGTTCTCTGCCAGGAATGCCCCCACCTCCGAGTTGCTACACTCCAGGTAACCGTGTCCTCCCAGATGCAGGCCTCAGGTTAATCCCCAGGTGAAGTTCACACTGTGGAGCCTGAACCATGAGCTCTGGGTGAGGACTCTGGCATTTTCCGCTTTTCCCAAGAACCCAGGGTCACAAAGGCCCACCTTCTGGGCATTGTCCATTGCATGTTTTTTTTTTTTTTTTTTTCTCTCTCTCTGTTTCACAGGTGGGTAAAACCTCCTGAACTTCCAGCATAGGAAATAAACATTTGATGTCGCTTTTGTTCTGTCCACGTAATCGTGTGTCCGTGCTCATATCCACAGAATACTTCATCAGTAATAATTGGAATTTTTGAAAAATCTGGAAAAGGAAGAAAATAGTTTACTCATCTCCTTAGTAGGCAAATGGGCACAATTTTACCTCTTCTCAGATCGGCTTGATTTCTTTCAGAGTCTGACCCTGGGCGTATGTGTCTGTGGCTCTATAGGCCTGTGTCCTGGACGAGGTACTTGACAAACTGTGCTGGAACCTGCCTCATCTCCTGCCACCTCAGAGCTTTCAGGTCCTCTGAAGACTACGTCTGGAAGGTGCTAAAACTCACGGTAGTTTGTTTCTGTGTGGAAGTTTGACCAGGCGCCCTCTCCCACTCCGTTTTGGTATTTAGTCCCTTGGGGAGCATCCGCCTGATGGTCTGTCCCCATTGCTCCCCTCACCCCCATCCCAACCCACCCCCAATCCCCTGCTGCTTTTTTCCTGACTGTAATTCTGGCAAGAAAACTCTAGGTGTACCCAGAAGAGTCCTCTACCTAAAAGAGTATGTTTAAACAAGGCCTAGGCTCCAAACTAAAGACGAACACCCACCCCCCTACACCCAATTTGCAGTTCAATCATTATAGATTTAATTATTTTGTCCCTTCACAAGTCCCCTTTGCAAAATATCAATACCCCATGAAGGGCTAAGACTAGAAGTCATTATCAGTTTATGCTCCCAAGGGATTCCTTAGCTAACCCCCTAAGGACAGGCTCAGAAGGGTGTGCTGGTAGGGAGGAGGACCCTACGATGAGGGCGGGGCTGCTGAGTGAACTCCACAAACCCCTGCCCCTTGGATTTGATACTCATCTCCAATTCATGGACTGTTCTCGCAGGTCCTCTTTTCCTCTTCGGCTCCCTTGCCCCACCTTTGCTCTCGGGCCTGGGTTTGCCTGTATGTGGCTGAGTGGTGGTGTGCCTGCCTCACGTCGTATGTGCCAGTGTCTGTGTCTATGTCCCCAGGTCTGTCTTGATGGTGACACCAGCTTGTCTAGCAGTGGTAACCACAAAAAATTAATTCCGATTACTCGTTGAATGATTTAGGTATTTTCAGCTTCATTAACAGCTAATCACCGCACAATGGATTACTCAACCAGGGTTTGAAATATGCCTTCCAGGTGGCTAGACTGACTGGAAAGATTGTATCCGGGGACTTCGGTCTGCTATCCTATACTCACAGCCCTGATGTCTTTTGTGGGAACACGTGTTTGCCTATGAACTGTCTGTGCATGTTTTTGGCAGGTCCCCTTCCCTGCCCCACCCCAGCCTCTGCCAGGTCCGCCTGCAGAGCCCTTGGTCACAAAGCCTTTGAGAGAGGGTGCGAGATGGCTGGGGTCTAGCAGCACCCTCGGAGGAGGGTCCCGGTGTGCCTGCCAGTGAGACAGGCTAGCCAGCTGCACCCCATCAGAGTTCAGAGCGAGGCTGGGAGGTGAAAGATGTGTAGCCAGAAGGCTGGGAAAGGTGCCACTGGGGACACAGCCAGGTGTCTTGCCGCCCACAGAAAATTCTCCTCTTGCCATGCCCCGAGGAACAAATTAGCATCAGCGACACAAGTGTGACTCCAGAGCCAAGTCTTAGGTGAATGCTCTCTGCGACCACTGAAAGTCTTCTGATGCATACTGGGGTGGGGGTATGGTTGACCTTGGAGAAGATGAGCACACCCCCCCTCCCTCCACAAAACTCCAGCTCCAACACTATCTCTAACCAACAAAAGTCAGGTTAGCAAAGTGGCAGCAGCTTGGGGTAGGGCACTGGGTACAAGCCTTGACATCCACATGCAGGCCTGGCTTTTTTTTTTTTTTTTTTCGTTTTTTTGCACAGGTCTGACACAAACCACTAACTCCTCTGGCCACACAGAGTGCTCTGTGGGTAGAGCCAGCCCTGTTTGCCCTTGACAGGGACCACTTTCAAGGGCCGATTGGCTTTCTCAGGGGTTTTCTCTTAACATTTGTCAATGACCATTGTCAGGTGTTGCTAGGGTTGCAGGAGAGAGGTTTCACTTGATTGGCTAAGCAACTGTATTCTGTAACCAATCCAAGTGCTAAGCTTGGGGGAGGGGGAACTTAACAAGATAGAACAATATCAAGCACAGGCAGACGCATTCCGTGTGCTAATAAGGCGTCTGGAAAAATGGAATTATAGTGTGCAGGAATCCCATGCGTCTCTCCAGCTCCAGCCATGGCACGGTTGCCGTTCCGACTGTTAACAGCACGCGTAAAAGTCATTCCCACTAGTGGGAGGGCTTCAAGATTTCCAAACCGGGGAGCAGTAGCTGTGGCAAGGAGGAAGTAAAACTCCTTGCTCATTGTGTTTTTACAGTCTTCCTTAGTAAAACTGCTGAATTGTAATTTAAAATATTCCACCCTTTCAAATAAATTAAATGCAGCCCTTAAAAACAGGAAACGAGAGAGGTGCACACGTATTGTCAACTGAACAGTCACAGACGTCCCACAAGGCAAAGTTGAAAATCATCAAACAGTGCTATGAATTCGTCTTGGAACGGTGACAGCAGGGCTCACCAGCGAGGGAGGTGTTGTGCCTTGGGCAGCACACTCTTGGGCTGAACCCGGACTGCTGCTTAGGAAGCCAACAGAAGAGAAATATCAGCTTGAAAGGAACTTCGGCTCTTCCAAGATCATAGATATTCAGAGATTCAGATAAAACCTAATGGTTCAAAGGCAAGGGAGTGTGTCCTTGACAGCAGCAATGGCGGAACCCAACCTTCAGAAAACCTGACACCGGTAAGCCAGATACATCTGCTACCCCCGGTAATACGGCAACAGCAAGCAAGATCGTGCTGAGAAAACAGGTCCAACTTCTGTATAACACCGATCCCCCCATCCACGATCAGCCTGACCACCAGACTTTAGCAGTTTTTATAGTCAGTTTTTATTCAGCCACAAGAAATGTTTCTTTCACTTTCCTTGCCTTTCCCTCTGCCCTCTGATCTGTTGTGCCTTAGAAAGGTGGAGCTGCCACTCGAGAATATGAGGGGAAGGGAAGGCAGGAGGAACGGAAGGAGGCGGGGAGGGAGGAGGAGGAAAGAGGTGTGGGTGTGTGCTTTCTGCGGATCCCCTGTCCCTGTCATTTGCCTCCGCTCACCATCCCAGACTCTTCTGCTTGTGAAGAACTCGACAGCCAAAGCCAAGGACACTGAGCCTAACTGCAGCCTGCAGTGGCTTTGCAGGTTCTGCATTTTACTCTGTGACATCTTGGAATAGCTCAAAATGAGAGCAAATGACAAAAGATACCAACATTGGATGGTTTGGGCTTCCACCTCCATTGGTGTAAAGAAGAATATCCGTGAGCAGACAAAGATTTTTGAGGCTGGTTGGAAACAGGACTGCCTGCAGAGCTGCACAGAAAATAGGGCTTCACAGTCCTCCCACACACACAGAGCTCCCCACTTACTGCCACCCATGCCATGGCCGGAGGAGCCCATCTCCATCGGAAGAGGGCCCTGGACCCCTATGCCTTCACGCAGCTGCTATCATGGCAGGAATTACTATTCCAAAGGGAAAGAAACTTGAAGAGAGTGCTTGGTTAATTTCTTTGGTTGCCTGCGAGGCTGAACGCTGATATTTGTGCTGTGACTTAACCCACTTGCATAGCCAGGCATAATTTGTTGCGTGGCCCTGTGACTTTCTCCTCATTCATTTCTCCCTTATGAACACTTCCATCATGTTTGTGTGTTAATTATTTAGGGCACTTCTTTATTTCAGAGGCCCTGAAGTCTACCCGATTTTTTTTTTAAGATTTCTTTATTTATTTGAAAGGCAGAATTACAGAGGAAGAGAACTCAGGGAGAGACAGAGAGAGAGGGAGAGAGATCTTCTACTCACTGGTTTATTCCCCAAATGGCTGCAATGGCTGGGGCTGGGCCAGGCCAAAGCCAGGAGTCTGGAACTCCATCCAGGTCTCCCACATGGGTGGCAGGGGCCCAAGCACTTGGGCCATTTTCTGCTGCTTTTCCCAAGACTGGAACCATTGCTCGTAGGGAATTCCAGCATTGCAGAAAGCCCCTTTACCTGATACTTCTCACAACACAGCCCTCTAATTCTGGCTTCTCTCTCTCTCTATCTCTCTCTGATATTTAATTATTTATTTGAAAGGCAGAGTTACAGAGAAGCAGAGGCAGAGAGGGAAAAAGGTCTTCCATTCACTGGTTCACTCCCTAAATGGCTGGGATAGCCAGAGCTGGGCCAATCCAAAGCCAGGAGCCTGGAATTCTTCTAGGTCTCCCACGTGGATGCAGGGGCCTATGGACTTGGGCCATCTTCTCCTGCTTTCCCAGGCCATAGCACAGAACTGGATCGGAAGTAGAGCAGCCGGGGCTCTACCCAGTGTCCATATGGGATGCTGACACTGCAGGCAGCGGCTTTACCCACTGTGCAACAGCGCCGGCCCTGGCTGCTCCCTTTTAGGAACAGGTCCGGTGGGCCAGAACCCTTCACACCCACCTCTAGTCTTCCTACTTGAGCAGTGGGATCGGTGGGTTGTGAAAGTCACCGCTATCCGAGATCTGTTTCCCAGTCTGGCAGGCACATTCACGTAGTCATTGGTGACTCCACAGAGCTTTAAGAATTGGTGCACTTGTTCAGTGTGTTGCATTTCAAGACAACTTCCAGTGGAATCCTACAGTCAATTTTGGTTTGTAAAAGTCTACTGATTCAGTGAGAAACAGAACATGACCATTTATTCCAACCTGCCGGCCAACAGTAAAGTCCATCCATGTGAGTCTCATAGCCTTTGTTTTCCTGAATCATAATCTCTAAGAAAAGGGGAGGTGGTGAGTTTAATGAAAAAAGTAGAAAATAGGGACGGCATTTGGCCTGGTTATTAAGGTGCCAGTTTAGTGTTCATGTCCCACATCAAAGGGCCTGGGTTTGAGTCTCGGCTCTGGCTCCTGATTCCAGCTGCCTGCTGTGCAGACCCTGGGGGCCAGCGGTGATGGTGCGAGTGGTCGGATTCCTGCCACAAGTTCCGGCTCAGCTTCAGCCTTGGCCCAGCCAAGGCCACTGCAGGCATTTGGATAGTGGGGCAGCAAATGGAAGTGCTTGCCCTCTCTCACCCTCTCCCTCCTTCTCCCTCCCTCCCTCCCTCCCTCTCTCCCTTTCTCTCTCACTCTCTCTCTCTCCCTCCTGTGTGTGTGTGTGTGTGTGTGTGTATGTATGTCTTTAAATAAATAAAAATGGTTTTTCAAAAGCAAAAGGCCGGGGGCAATCCACAACTACAGGAGCAGTTGCAGGATGTTAAGGATCACTTGAGAAGGTGGGATCAGAGAGGGAAATG